TTAAGAACGCGGCGTGCGCGGACCCGCGGGAGAACCCGGCCACGGCCCAGCACCTCGATCCCGCGCGGTTGTCACCTTCGCCCGGGGAAGGGGCCTCCAGCACCATGCCCCGCATAGACGCGGACCTCAAGCTCGACTTCAAGGATGTCCTGCTCCGACCTAAGCGGAGCAGCCTGAAGAGCCGCGCCGAGGTGGGGCGATTCCAAAGCCGCCTTGGGGCTGGGGATTTTGGCCATTTTTCCGGGGTGCGGTGGGTGGCAGGGGGCGGCGCAGAGACTCTGCCTGGCTTTCTGCGTCTGAGGCTGGGGTGCCGCGCCCCTTTCCGCTCCCCACCACGCGAGGTCCCTGCCAGGGCGCAGATTCGTCTTTAGGGGTGCGGAAAAGGGGCCAGCGGGGGCCTGAAATTCTAAAGGAGTCGGTCGGGTCGGTGGGCCAGGGGAAGTTTACGCTGAAACTAGATCTCGGAGGAGCAAAAATCCGGGGCCAATGGGTTTATACAGGATGGGGGTGGGGAGGTGCATAAGGAGAAAAGGAAGCGCTGGAGCTCGGGTGGAAAGGGAGAGACAAACATGAGCGATCCTTGAGGTTTTTAACAGTGCCTGCCCTTGTGGACAGCTGCTGCTGCTTTAGCATCAGGTCCAGCAGTGGAATTTCTTGAACAGGTCTGCAGGGCCGGGGAACCCTCCGTCCCCAGTTTAGTGTACTTTTTCTTGCTGGAAGCGGAGCTCGGGATCCCCTTTTCACCCGTCCTTCCTGGGCAGCCCGCAGTCCTGCCCGAGAGAAGCCCAAAGCGCTTGGATGCCGGTGGTAGGAGGAGTTGGAAGCTGTGGTTTTACTGCTTCAACCTTCACGAGAGCAGAGCTTAAGGAACAGGTGGAAGACAGGACTGGAAATAGCTCGGGCTGGGTGTGGGGGTGGGGAAAGGAGGTCAGACCCTGAAGGGTAAACTAGTTTCCCGGGAAGGCAGAGCTCCTTTGCAGAAGTTGTGTGCCGGGCCAGCGGCTTTGCCTGGTCTCTGGGAACTGGAGAGGAGGCAGAAAGACAAGGTTTGGAAGGCTGGGGCTGGAGGAGTGAACAGGAGGAGGTGGATGTATCGGTACTCGCTCCGCTCCGTCTCAGGTTCCACAAACATAACCACAAGTAAGTCCTTGGCAAAGATCTCCGCGCCAGTGCCCAGCCCTGACTGCAGTGCCTGGTGCTGCCAGCTGAGGGCTTGTTTGGATTAGGGCAGCTTCTTGCCTTAGCCAGTGAGTAGAACCCAGTCACCTTGACTAAGCAGCAGCAGTGGCTGGCTGGAGCCAGGACAGGAAGAAGTGGGGGAGGAATGATGCACTCTGACCATCCCAGATTAGATGCATGCCCCTCTGCTTGCCCTTCATTGTGTCCCTTCAGTCGCCAAAGAGCAGAGCAAACTCTTGGAACAAAAATAACCAGTTTGGAGGGCATCCCGGAGCCTCCGGAAGTACAAGCTATAGCCAGAATACGGGGATTCTGAGCAGACTAATTTGGCGACCTGAATATTTGTTCAGAATATATTTAGGAGAAGCTTGCTTGCGAGACAAGATCTATGTTCAAAACAAAGTATGTATTTTCTGAACCAGAAAACCGCTTGAGAAGGTAAAACATTCATGTAATGGACTGGATTTTTCCTTCCCTGGGAATCGTGTGACGTCATGGAGCACTGGTTTTGTATTTTGGGCTTATTGCCACTGTTAGTGCTGTCCCAGCCTGTGGCAGTACCTTGTAATCCACGTGTGCACATCGCAATGAGAAGTCTGTGCCCTTGAGAACTTTTTTCATGCTTCACCTTTGTGGGAACTTGTCAGCTTTGTACCTGGAAACTGAAGTTAGTGGGTATTTTAGTTCTAGTTTCCTAATCCTCCCTGGGCAGAAGGCTGCTGCCTGGGCAGCCATCCCCCAGCACTGGATTTTATCCCTCATAATCTGAATTTACTTGCCCCTGGGGTCTTGAGGGATCTAGTTAGGCCTCTCTAATCCCCTCTCAGTGTTTCTTCTGTTTTCTTGTTGATGCATGAAATTTCTTGTAGGCAGACACAAATGCTTCATTGTACAATCAAAAGTTTAAAATGGGTGTACTCTGTTAGAAGCAACACCCGATTGCAAATCCTAATCCAGTGAGGCAAGCCTGTGGCACGCATGCCGCAGCACGCTATCTTTATATCATTGCAAGCTCTGAAAGGTTTGCCATCACTGTTTTAGTCAGTGGCTGGCATTAACAGAGTGCGGGTTTGAGTGGAACCAGGAGAGAGAGAACCTATGTCAGGGAGCAGAATCTGCCGGAGAGAAGTTTTGACAGCTCATGATAGGCTTTGCCACTGCACAGTTTTGCCCAGCTCCAGGCCCTGGGGTGGGTCGTCAAGCATGGACAGGAACTGGAAAGGCAGCAGGGTCCCCCGCCGAGAAGCTCAGTTCTGCAGGGACACTTTGGCCAACCTGGCACAGGTATCCCTAGTGTGGGTCTTCAGGTAGGCAGCCGTCTCCTAGCTGTGGAGCTCCTAGTACAGAAGATTGAAGTACAGCAGGGCTCACATGTGGGACACGTGAGCAATCCTCAGAGACTGTGACCTTTGTGTTGAGATGATCTGATGTACTGGCGAGCTGGCACCATATCTTGACTCCCAAAGCGGCTTCTTCCTTGGGACCCATTCCTGACTCTGCAATCCCACTGTAGTCCTTAAACTAGTATGTCACCCATCTGCCATTCTTTGCTCGGGAATATGGGGCTAGGAGAAAGGAGGCCTGGGTTTAAATCTAAACTCTGTCACTATTATTTGTGTTATCTTTGTGTTACTTTTCCCTGGGGTTAGTATAAAATGTACTGCCCCAAATGGTGTGGCTTTATCAACAAAAAAATGGACTGTCTATTGATTCTGGAAGTCTCCAGTCAAGTTGCCAGCAGGGTTGGTTCCTTCTGAGGGCTGTGAGGGAGAATCTTGCATGCCTCCTGCCAACTTCTGCTGGTTTTGTGGGATTCCTTGGCATTCCTGGGTTGGTAGATGGTACCGCCCCATCCTTGCCTTCATCTCTGTGAGGTGTACTCCCTTTGCTGGCCTGTTACCAAATATTTTTTCCTTTTCTAAGAACATTGTGTATATTGGGACTAGGACTCACTCTAAATGACCTCGTCTTAACTTGGTCATCTGCAAAGACCCTATTTACAAATAACGTTACCTTCACAGGTAGGAGGCACATTTCAGCCTCTAACAGCTTGTGTAAATTTTTCACTGTAAAATTAGAGGATTTGACCAGACTTGTTCTTAGTCATGAATGCATCAGGATCACCTAGGGAGACTCCAAATTCATGTATTATCTCCAACACAAAGGTTTTTGATTTACAAAGTTTGGGCCCTAAAAGGTTTCAGCTGTGTACGAGGCTGCCCTGGATTGACCTCTCTTGCCCTGTTTGTGGGACTTGTGGCTCTCTGGTGAGGCTGCAGCTGTGTGTGAAGCTCGAGAGCGGAAGGTGAGGCTTCTAGGGGTCGGTCCGTGTCCATGGAGCTGGAACTCCCCAAACGTTTCCCTGAAAAAGGCTGCGTCTCACTCAGGCTCACCCTTGGCTGTTAGCCACAGGTTAGTTTATTCCGTACCTGTTGAGCCCCTTGGGCTACAGACATAAGACACTGACCCAGTACTCAGGTGAGACAGCTAATGAACAATCCAGATAATTGATTTGCGAATTACCATCTGGAGGTGTAGGAAAAGGGGGCACTGTCCTGGACCTCACTTCTGTGTCCTTGTACAGAGCTGGCCTGTGGCTTTGCTGTTCTTCTGGCGTGTGTACTCCAGGTCTCAGGACCCTGGGAACCTTCCTTGTGATAACTTCAAGATGATTCCACAGCCTGCATGGCCACTTCCCCAGGAGTGTCGCCCCATGCTGCTGGGGTGCTGCTCTATAACCCCAGAGAGTGGCCGAGTGATGGACCTGTGTACGGGTGTGCACAGAGTGTGGTGGTGTGTGCACAGATGGATGCGGGCGGGAAGGGGATACGGACTAGGGCCGGACTGGCTCCTTGGTACCACCACTGTCAGTGCCTTCCTGGCATGTGGATGTCACTGCTTTCTGTGAGGCTGGGAGGATGGAGCAGTTTTATGTAGCAGCTTGTTAGCTCGAACCCTAACCTTGAATTATTTAGGAGTGTGCACGTGGGCCTCCCTTTGTCCTTTGGCTGGGTAGCTGGGCGGACTCAGCGAAGGGGTGGGGGAAGAGCAGGATTTTGAGGTTTGGTAAGTGTGTTTGGTTATTCTCCCTTTCAGGTGGCGCCTAATGCGGCGAAATTGCTGTGGTTGATGCATTGGCCAGCTGTGGCAGTTTAAATGCCAAGTTTTGTTCTGGGAGGCTCCGGTATTTAAAGTAGTATCTCTCTCTCGGAGTGACTGGTCTGTTTTGAGTCTGTCTGAATAAAGTCAGGGAAGATAGTTTCATTTTTCATTCTTAGAATTACTATTGCAGAGAATCTGCCTTATGTCTTTTTGATGGGGAGGGTGTTGGGCTGTAACGTGGGGCTTCCTGGGTGTTAAGTGTGTATTCTATCATTGAGCTATGCCCTCTTGCCCCAATAATTCACCTTATAGAGTTGAGTAGGAATGAAGGGAAGTTCATTGTCAAGGCAGCCCTTTTCTTTCTCTTCTTTTTTTTCCACACAATACAAATGCTTTATTGTGAGTCGCAGTTCATCCTGTGGGCTAAGTGGTCCTTATCCAGGACCCAGCAGCTGAGCTCAGTGCAGCCTCCATCCGGGCTTTTTCCTGCTCTGATTCCAACAGGGTGAGCACGTTGCCCTCGCACACTGGGCCTTTCAGGTTTCGGATGATGGAGCGTGTCATCCATGAATTCCACGCACACCTCTGTGCATTGTCCCTGTGAGTTGGTCCTGCCCAGCACTTTGGTGACTGAGGCCAGCTTGGTAGGCTGCATGCAACTGACAGCATCTGTAAAGCATGTTTTGCTTTGGGCACACTGATAGGTTTTGGAGTGCCAAGAAAAAGCCATGGCGCTCTGAGGCTGGTGCAGAGTGTAGCAGCTCTCTCCTCATGTGTCTTAGAGGAGTAGAAGAGTAATTTGAGGCCGAGGAATTCTGATTGTTTTAAGCTCTGAGCCAAAATGTTTGAGGCCATTAGCAGCACAGAAGGTTGCAACTAATAGAGCACTGCAATTAGTTTGCAGAATGTGGAGAGAGCTTGCTTCACTGGGGTAGAAGCAAGAATCATCACAAAGGAAGTGGAGGAAGGGATGCAGCCCCACAGATGTTCATGCGTGGCAGGGACTCACTTCCACACACTGACCACTGCTTGTGGCCAGCGCAGTTGTAGGGTGACATCAGTAAAGCCTCTGGACCTGGAGCCCTGGGCAGAGAAGCCAGAGGCAGAAAGGCTGCAGGACCTTAGATGTCCCACTGTGCTTTCTGATGTGATGCTGATTGCGTAGTGCAAGTTGCCTCAAATGGAAAGAATAAAAGCGGTATCTAGATAAACACTCCAGAAGCCAGGATTCACGCAGGTCTAGATTATAGGTCTGAGCTTATGTAGAAGCGTAAGATTCACGCCTGTGTTTCTTGGTCCTGTTTACCTCGGGCAGTCACCTACCTGTAGTGTGATCTGTATTCAGCAGGGTCCAGCCGTGAAAATGAACAATGCACAGTATTTGAAGCAAGGAATTTAATGTAGGGAATCCTGACATGGCTGAGATACCAAACAGGATATCAAGGCACCCAGGAGACTGACAACAGCAAGAAACCTTTCCCAGCCCTAGGATAAGGGTCCCAGGGTGGCGGTGGGACAGCTGGGCTCAGACTGTGGAAGTTGGAATCAGGAGTGCACAGGTCTGAAGGGACACAGCTGCTCTGGAGAAGTTCCCCATGGCATTGGATGGGGTATGACTCCCCCACCTGCCCCTCTGTCCTCCAATTCCTCTTGCAGTGTGTGTCCTCTGACCAAACCCAGCCTGAAAGAAGCTTGAGAATTGGACCCTGTAGGGGTTGGCCTCTCTGAAGCATAGGCTCAGGACCTGCCCTGGGTCATAGTCCTAGTAATTCTGAGACTGCTGATGCTGCCGCAGTGCCTAGACCCAGCACACTGCATCTACTGAGCTTCCCATCTTGGCCATGCTGTTGAGAATTCCGGATTGCTGCTGGTCTTGCGTGCCCTGAAGCTGGAGTTGTGGTAGCATCAGAGGCCCTCCCCTCAGCTGTTTGCAAGTCACAGGAGCAAGTGTTTATATGCATGGACATATGCTTGCAGCGTTCTCCCCTACAGCTCTTTAAAACCTGCTCATAATTACCAGCCAGCTGCAGAGGCTAAGGGATTAATGGTTTGGTGCTCGCAGTGGGGTAAATTTGGAGTGTAGTTCTAGGTGAAAGGTGAGAATTGTAGGGACTGACAGGGTCACTGGCAGTAAAGAGTGGAGCAGATTTTCCCAGAAGGGGATTGGTCCCTCTGGTGCTGGGAAGTGGGGGAAAAGGTAACATGTATGTGGATAGTTAGGACCAATAGGCCCTAGACTGGGAGTAGAAGGTAGCAGTGGGATTGGAAAGGCTGATGGTGGAGAGGAGGTTTCTGACTTGGGGCTTTGTCTTTGTGGCAGAGTGTTCATTGTCTTGTTCAGGTGCACGAGAATGGCAGGGATTATCTGAGGATTCACATGTGAATACACATGTTACTTATTTCCTGAGGGGCTGCCCAGGCATGAAACACCTGGCCTGAGCCCTGAGCAAATCAGGAGTCAAGGGTTGGATACTCACTTTGTGATCTTCCTGTCCACTTGGACGGAGAAATTCTGCACCTAGCACCTAAGATCAGACACTCATTTCTTCCCCCTTTTGGCCAACAGGTGGATCTTGAGAGTACATTTACATTTCGAAACTCGAAGCAGACCTACTCAGGAATCCCCATCATTGTGGCCAACATGGACACTGTGGGGACATTTGAGATGGCAGTTGTGATGTCACAGGTGAGATGTGCACCCCCACCCCTTAACGTTTGCTGCTCACACTTCTGTGAAAACCCCTGAGATGGTTTTGGAAATCTGAGATTCAAAAAAAAAGTTAGACAACAGGATGAGTGTCATATTATAGGAGACTGATGTTGCCTTTGAAATCAAGATAGAGCTTCGTGGGCCAGGGATTTAGCTCAGCGGTTCGGTGGCCTGCTTCGCAAGTGCAAGGACCAAGTTCGATCCCCAGTACCAAAAAAAAAAAAAAAAAAAAAAAAGATAGAGCTTTGTATGTGGTCTATGATGTAGCATTTCCTCCAGAGAGATGCAGAAGAATCCACTGAGCACTACCAGGCATAATGCATCTCTTAATTGTTATCACACCTTGCACAAGTTAGGTTCTTTGTAAGGAGGAAGAAATGGAGGTTTCTTCAGAAGACAGGAAGGGTAACATATTCCATGGCCTTCAGCCAGACAGGCAGGACTCTCAGCTGAATTGACCCTAGAACCTAAGGTATTTACCTCTCTTGAAAATGCAGGGTCAGTATGAGCTCAAAGTTCCTTTTAGGGACTGGGGGTTTGGCTCAGTGGTTCCGCTGCCAGTAATTCTGATCCCTGATACCAAAAAAACAAAGTTCCTTTTAGCCAACTGCTAATCTAATTGCTTATAGAGGGAGCAGCTAATATCTTGGCCTTGGGGAAAATAAAGGAAATACCCATTTGTAGGCAGGACCTTTGTCTCACACAGCTATGTCTAAAGTACCAGAGTGTCCTAGGAGTCCTAGATAGGAAATGTTCGCTGCTGATGCACATAGGAGGTGTGTGTCTGTTTCTGTTGGTAATGCCTGCCAAGGGCAGAGATAAATCCAATTAGTTAAAAGAGCTTCTCACAATGGACAGCAAGTCTAACTGCAGGAGGTGCTGGGATTCATTATTAGGCAGTGATTAGAAGGAAGAGGTCCTCAAACAAATTATGAGCTCAAAAACTGACTCCACGATCAGTTGTCTTGTCAGTCACCTCTCAGATGCCCCTGGGCTTTGGAACAGAGACTCCCAAATTAATTGCTAAAGGAACACAGTCATTTTTTTCTCTCCATCTTTCCCGTGCTCTGCTCTCATCCAGCATTGGTGCTAAGGGAATGTGTGTTCTGGTTCTGTAAGGGCAGAGGTTTTGCTCTATGCTGCCTTATGATAGATTCAAGACACTGAGAGCCAAAGTAAACCTTTTCTCTTTATAAGCCAGTTATTTCAGGTAGTGTGTTATAGTGACAGAAAGCTGATTAACACAGTATAAAAGTAGGGGGAGCCAGGGGGCAACAAGCAGCCTAGTTAATTCACATGTCAGATTTGAGTCTGAAAATCCTGTAACTGGATGTGCCTTTTTGTTTTCCTGGGACAGTTTCCCACAAATGAGACAGCGCATGCTAACATAGCTGGCCATGGGTGGGTACTATGAATTTTCCATTACTAGGATCTACAAAGTAAGTGCAAGTTAATAAAGCCATAAAACTTTGAAGTAAGAAATTGTAGCTGGGGAAATTAGGCAGCCCCAGAAGTCAGAGAGTCCCCAGCTACATGGGATTCAAGCCTGAGCTCCAGAGTCAGATCTGAGCCCATTCTGGCCTTTACCCCTTACTAGCCAAGTATTTGGTAAGTTTCTTAAGCTTCCCTTCTGCCCACACAGCTGATAATGCTGTTGTGCTAAGAATGAAATGAATAATGTCTGCAAAACATGGGCCCAGTGGTCACAAAGGCTCAGGTGGATAGTCACATATTTAAGGCTATATAAGTTGAGACAGGATCTCACTATGTAGTTCAGGCTGGTCTTGAACTTGGTGTGTAGCCTGGGCTGGCCTTGAACTCCTGGCAGTCCTCCTGCCTCAGCCTCCTGAGTGCTAGGATTAGAGTCATGTGGTATCATACCTGGTGGGTTTAACTTTTAGTAAGATGTGTTTAGGTTGTGAACATAAGATAAAGCTTTCAGGCCTAAGATGAGGTCCTTTGGGGTTGATGGAGAAAAGTCTGTGTCAGGATGACCCTTGTGCTGGGCAGGGACCTGCTGTGTGGCTTGCTTTTGGCCCATCTGTTTCTCCCAGCCCTACTCTGGTCTGGGAGGGAGCCAGGGCAGGCTGAGGCTGGTCCCTGAGAAGACTCTTATTCCTCCCTTGCCCCTGGACAGAGCCACCTGGGCCTGGACGCAGTGTTGTCTGATCAGGTAAGAGTGGGAAACACGCTGATTTCACTCTTATGCTTTTGTCTATTTTTGGTGCCCAGGAACATAGTGAAAACAAATGAAGCCTGAGTGACAGGAGCAGCAGGTGCCTTTGTCTTGTTGGGCCACCACCTGCCGATGGAGGAGGGGAGAGGCCTTCCTGACTTCTCCTCCTAATGGCACTGTTTTGTTTCCTAGCACTCCATGTTTACCGCTATTCACAAGCATTACACGCTGGATGACTGGAAGCGCTTTGCCGAGTACCACCCGGAATGCCTGCAGGTATGACTGCAGCCTGGGTTTACAGGACGAGGGCTGCAGGGGGCAGAAACGCTTCAGTGCTGTCAAGAGCAGTGGAGTTAGCAGCCAGACGCAGAGAGCGAGGTGGTCTGCAGTCTCGCATCAGCGCTGGGGATTTACGACTGAAACCTGGTCCATGGCATATTATGGGGACCCTGGGATTTACCTGGGAGGAGTGTCTGTATCCCCTTGAAAGGTGATGAGTTCTGTCACCAGAGCACGGGGAAGACCTCTGCTTCCTGGCTGGACCCCATCTGAATGTGTCCTAGGTCTAGAAAGAACATCTAATTATAAGAAGCTACTTGTGAGTTAAGTCAGCGATAAGCCTGCTAGGACAACTGTGGCCGGGATGGCAGATAAGAAGCGTTGTTGAGGGCGTGGAGAAATCAAACACTCCTGGCCTGCCGGTAGGGATGTAAAGTGGTGCTGCTGCTTTGAAAAAGTCTGGCAGCTCCTCATGAGTTGCCATGTGACCCAGCAATTCCATTTCTGGATACAGACCCAGCAGAAAATGAAAACATCTGTACACGTAGAAACCTGCTTGTTCATGTTTATAGTAGCTTGGTTCGGAACAGCCCAGATATCTATCAGGGGATAAATAAATGGAAATGAATCCTTATGGTGGAATATTATATAGGTATGAAAAGGAATGAAGTACTGATTTATGCTACAATGTGGGAGAAACTTGAGAACATTTTGTGAAGTGAAAAAAACAGACAGAAAGGCCAAATACATGATTCTATTTATGTGAATTGTCCAGATAGGCAAATCTATAGAGATAGGAAGTGGATCGGTTGTTGCCTGGACCTGAGGGGCAGGGAGCTAGGGGGTGATGGTGATGAGTATTACAGTTTCTTCTGGGACGTCATGAAAATGGTTTAAAATTGTGCACTTTGATGGGTGAATGACACTGCATGTCACTACACCTCCGTAGAGTAGTTAAAAAATGACTGATGCACTGAGTTTCCTTCAGGTGCCTTTGGGTGGCCAGAGTGTCTCGGTTGGAGCTGCACCCCACAGTCAGACCATTTGTGATTAGAGAGTGATTTCCTAGCTTCCTACTTTCAGAGTCCCACAGGCTGCGGCTGCTTTTACTATGCATTCATTAGGTGTATATTTTCCTTAGGGAGAAGCTAGTTTTGGAGAGAAAGCAATTCTGGCTCAATAGGAAGTCCTTCATTTTTGTTATATTTTGTTCAAATGAATTAGCTGTCCCTAATTCATTAATTAATTAATAATTAGCTGTCCTGCTGGTTGCAGGACCACCCTGCAGAAACCAGAACCTTCAGATGTTTATGCCCCTTTTATATATTTCTGTATGACCTTTGAATGTTCTCTGTATCCTTTAAATCTTCTCCAGATGATTATAATACAATGTAAATGGTGTGTAAATGGCCATTACACTGTGTTGTTCAGAGACAAATAAGAAAAAAGTCCATACACGTTCCCTTCAGTAAACCTGTAGTATTTTCATCTGCCGTTGGTTGAATCAGAGGATGAGGAGTAACTACGGATCATTTAACAGCTGACTTCTCTGTGTCATTGTTGTGCTTTGGGAGGATAGTGGAAGAGGTTAAGATATGTCCCTTATTCCTGGCTAAGGTTTCCAGGTAAGAATTCAGTTGAAATATTTTCATAGGTGAGATGACTCTGGGCACTGTCTCATGACTTAAGTTTCAGAGTCCTAAATGATTGAACATCAGGCTTTTTCCAAAGGCAAGTTTTCAGAGAAGACCCAGGTGTAGGGTTCAGGGGCACTGGTACTGTGGAGGGGTGGGGCAGGAGGGGACACAGTGGCTTCAGATTTAAATGTTGTGGTGCAGTTGTGAAAGATCTTGTGCCGCTCATTTGTTCTGGCCCCTTGGGAAATGTTGCCCCTCTAACAGAAAGACAGACTGCCGATGTGTGTGCAGGTGAAGATTCACGTGTGGCGCTCGTATTTCACTGTAGTTCCCTGATCTGTGGCGCCCTTGTTTGGAGCCCAAGACCCCCACCCCTTAGGGGCTGCCTGAAAGCGAGGATAGCACCAAACCCCATGTAGACTGTTTTTTTCCCTGCACATTCTTAATTTATAAATGAGGCATAGTAAGAGCCCAATAGCAATCAAACCGAACAATTAGAACAGTATTCTGTAATACAAATTTAAAACACATGAGGTTTATTTTTGGAGCTTCCTATTTAATATTTTCACACTTTGGGTAGCTGAAACTGAGGGTTTGGTTTGCAAGAATGACTGTATTGGAGCAAACATAAAAATAGAAACAACTTTACCAGAGGAATTTTAGGCACCGCCCCCTCGAGGCCCTCAGGTGAAGGCCGCGGCTTCAGCCTTGGTGGCACGGCTCCCCCTGTTCTTTCCGGAAACTTCCCAGCTCCCGCGGTCTTCCCTTGAGCTGTGCTGAGACGCGTTTGCACCAGCAGCTCCACAGCTCATAGTTCTGTGGTGGAAGCAGAGGTTACCGGCTTTGGGAACATTTAAGAATCTGTTCACCAGAACGATTTTGCAACTGAGGTCCAGGTTTAAGGATGGAAGCCGTTCAGCAGTGGCAGAGGTAACAAAAGGAGTCTCCCTTTGCCGTGCTCTCGCGGGTCTGGTGAGCTGGTCCCGCTGTGCTCACTGCGTCGTCCCTGTCGTGGGAGCCCGATGGGTCGAGTCTGTCTGTGCTCGCTGCTGCTTCCCGCTGATCTCTGTTTGTCATGGCGCAGAACGTGGCCGTGAGTTCCGGCAGCGGGCAGAATGACCTGGAAAAGATGAGCAGCATCCTGGAGGCTGTGCCGCAGGTGAAATTCATTTGCCTGGATGTGGCCAACGGCTACTCGGAGCATTTTGTGGAGTTTGTGAAACTGGTTCGAGCCAAGTTTCCCGAGCATACCATCATGGTAGGTGCCTGGGGACGCTCTCAAGGTGGGAAAGCAAGAGCTTCAGTGTGGCAGGGCCCTGTTTTCCTTTCAGAGCTTTCGGTGTTTCCTTTCCTTATTATTTATTGAAAGACGAGTTGAGAATCCTGAGGAAAGGAGAGGCAGCCGCTCTGGAAGATCTGAAAACTCAGTTTTCCTCTGTAACCAAAATGAAGTCTTGGTCAACAAGATATTTTTGCTAAATGTCGTCCAGTGTTTCTTAACAGGTAAGACCTGTAAAGAAGGGTCTTCATTACCCCTTGACAATGAGTATTTTTTTAAAAATGTACTCAGTAAAAACTCTTCTGGTTTAAAAAAATTAGACACAAAGGTGATACAGAAGTCAAAAGTCACAAAAGGGCATAAAATCAAAAGTAAGTCTCTAAGCTCTGGCCCTAGCCAGCCGTATCTCATTCCTCGAATGAATGGCTGTTCCCAGTTTTCTTGCGTGTACATCCAGAGGTGTTGCGTATACACAGCAGAGTATGTGCATACTCCACCTGGCCCCACAGAAGGTGACACATGGTGTGTCTTGCTCTACATTTTGTTCATTTAACGTTACACTCAAAGATCCTTTCATATTATTACTACATAGATGCGGTTATCATTTTTAAGTGGCTATTATATGCATTGTACCATACATACCGAGGCACATTTATGCTGTTCCCAGTTGTTTGTATCATTATTAACAAAATCATGGTAAATCTGCTTATACGTATATCATTTTTAAATATCTACGGTGTAGTGCTAAGATACATTCCTGGAAGCCAAATCTAAATAAATTAATTTGACTTTTTAAATTTAAAATGTACTGATTCTAATAAAAGTAGATAAATTTCTAGAATTCCTGGCCAAAGGATAACTGCACTGTATGACAGACACAGAACAAATTGCTCTTCGTGGCAGCTCTACCAGTATGCACTGCACTCCTATAGCAGTGTGGGACACAGGCTTTTTCCCGTGGTTGAGATAATCAGACTTTTTTTTTTTGCACTAATCTCATTGCAGTTTTCACAATTCATTTTTTTAATTATGAGATTTTATTTTTTTCAATAACTCCGCTTTATTTTGAAAAATATCATCACCTCTTTGTTTCGGGAGTGAAATACCTGACAACTACAACTTAAAGGAGGGGAGGTTTATTTTGACTCACGATTTCAGAGGAGTCAGTCCGTGGTTGGCTGACTCGAGGGCAGGAACATCATGGCAGAAGGACTTGGTGCAGGAAAGATGCTCAGTTTATGGCATTTGGGAATTAGAAAGCAGGGAAGAGCTGAAAGAGGCAGAAAGGAAGCAGGAGCCAGAAAATATAGTAATCCCCATGGTCACAGCCCTCTGACCCACCCAGACATACCCAGAAGTGTGTTACTAATCTCCTACATGTCTCTCAGGCCAGTCAAATCAACAGTCAATAAATCATCGAAAGTTACAATAAGGTTTGTTGACTACTATGAAGCAATAAGATAACAAGATCATGGAACTCATAAAACTTGTAGATTGGGATACTAGGAGATTCTTTTTTCTCATATTTGGTCTCTGGGCTCCTGACACAGAGCTTCTAGGATCTTCTTTAACTTCCAGAATGATAGGAGCATCTGACTCAGTTCCTAAATCCCCTGGAATTTCTGGGAGATCAGAGCATCTTTTGTGCCAGAAAGGTGACTCTTTTTGTGCCAGAAATGGGCTCTGGGGTGGGTGTGGTCACCACAGAGACCCAGCCTTGCTTTTGAGTTTGAAGCTTTCAGTTCCAGTCTGCATTTTCTGGAGAGGGGAGAAGACCTAATCAGTCATGCTTACTTGGTGAAGCTTCCATAAAAATCTCAAGAGTACGATGTTTGGGAGATTTCTGGGTGGGGTAACTAACACATCCATGTGCCGGGAGGATGGTGCACCCCAGTGCCACAGGGCCACAGCTGCTGTGCTTGGGATGCATACAACCCTCACCCAGTGTGTCTCTTCATCTGACTCTCCATCTGTGTCCTTTGTCATATCCTTTGTGGCCTCAGATCTGTGAGCCATTCCAGGAAATTGCTCAGGAATGGGGTGGTGGGAACTGTCAGTTAGGACCCAAGCCAGACAGAAGTTGTGGGTAACCTGCTACTTTGTGATTGGTATCAGAGGTGGGAGACGGTCTTGTGACACTGAGCCCTAACCTATGGGCTGACACTGTCTTTGATAGATAATGTCAGAATTAAATGGTAGAACACAGTGCTGTCATCCATTGGGGAAATCATTTGGTTTACGGGCTAGAACCTATATGTTTTGGTCATGGAAGTGTCTTGTGTTGTGTTGAATTTGAGTGTAAGAGAGAGACTTTTGTTTTTTTCCTTTCTCAAGCATCAGGCATCTTTTAGGAGGTTTATATCCATTCCCTCTTTTATAGCATCTCTGTAAAGACTAGGAACAATTATCATGAATTTATTATATAGACCAGGAATCTTAAACTTTGATTAGTTCTTTGGAAAGTTGGGATTTTCATAAAGCCTGTCATCATTTAGAAGCAAAGTTAAAATAAGGATCAAAATGTATAATTGATATTATGAAATAGGAAGAAAAGGTCTAAAGGAGTAGGGGAATTGAGAGGGGTAGGGGAAAGGAAAGAAGGGAAAAGAAAAAAATATGAGAAAAGGAAAAACATGGAAACAAAAACTTTGTAAATAGGGAAGGGTGAAGGGAGAGAGGGCAGGGGGATGGGGAAAAAATAACATCATGTAAAGTAACAATATCCTAATGATGAATGTAACTGTTGTGTATCTAAAATGTACCAATAGACTTAATGAGAGAGAAAAGAAAAAGGCAGAAGCAAAACTGGGATTTGAAGCCCGGTCAGTTGAAGACAAAGCCCATTACATTCTGTGGTAGAGTGAGACTTGTTAATGTACCCTTGTCCCTGTTAACCTTCCATGGGGTGATATGTGCGGACCAACTCCCCTTGTCCTGATCCCAAGGTGGTGGGAAGGTTGACCTTGGGCTTGCACTGGGGCGTAGTAAAATCCCCAACACCACCCCGTGTGGCCCATGCACCTGGTCCTGAGGGCCCACCTAGCTCCTTTCCGCCACCCCTCTGGTAATCTTCTCTTGGGGTAGCTGGGTTTGGTGGAACGTGCCTATAATCCCACACTGTGAGAGTCTGAAGCAAGAGGATTAGAAATTCAAGCCCAACCTGGGCAACTTTGCAAGACTCTGTCTCAAAAAAAAAATAAATAATAATAAATAAATAAAAAAGGGCCAGAGTATAGGTCATTGTGAAAGTCTTGTGTTCGATTCTCAGTACCCCCCCCAAAGCCAACAACCACAACAATGACAAAAAAACACTTCCTCTTGGGGCATGTAAAAGAGGGAGCGGCAAGCTGGCCTTCCAGAAGAGCAGAAGCCTCATCCCCTGGCTGAGACCTGTGGCCCATGAGCAGCATTTGGTATTAAGCATGACTTCTCTGTACCTCTGCCTGGGACAGAGAAAAACTCAATAAATATGTGTTGGCCAGGAGTCTTCCCTTGTTTTATTGCTCATGAGAATAGGAGATGAGGATGTCCAGAGTCTGCTGTGGACAGGAGTTGCTCTCACATTATGTCTTTAGTAGTTTTTTTTGTTTTTAATAAAGTAACTTTATTGAAGTAAAAATTTACGTGCACAATTTACAAACTTAAAATGTAAGATTCCATAGGTTTTTGTACATTGACAGAAGTGTACAGCTATAACCACAGTCAAACTTAGATCATTTTTATTAAGCCAGATCAAAGCACATCTTCCAGTTCCTCTCCCCTAAATCTGGGTAACTGCTCTCTGTCTTCATACGTTCTTCTATCCTGGGAATTTGTTTTTTTTTGTTTGTTTTTTTCCAAAGTAGACCATGTTCATAGCAGTGAAAACCTTAACATATCCTAAGATAGGAAAATCCTGCAGAGTGAGCTCTCACGTGGTATTGGAGTGAAGCCAGAAACCAACAACAGAAACATACTTAGAATATAATTCATTTTTCTTGTTCTTCTCTCTCTCTCTCTCTCTTTCCTATTACATTTTTCATATAAGGGAAACCATACGATATATGAGGTCCATCCATTTTCCAGTGTCAGAATAGTACTCCATTGTATACAGGCACAGCATTCTCTTCATTCATCTGTTCATTCACATAGGCTGATCTCACAATTTAGCTACTGAGAATTGAGCTGCTGTGAACATAGGTACACATGCATTGCTGTGATACATGATGCTTTTAACTCTTTTGGGAAGATACCCAAAAAGGGAATACTGAATCAAATGGAATTTCTATTTTTAGTTTTTTGAGGAATTGTCGTACTGATTTCCATAGTGATTATATCAGTTTACACTCCCACCAACAATGAACAAGGGTATCTTTCTCCCCACAGCCTCTCCAGCATTTGCTATTGGTTGATTTCTTGACGGTAGCCATTCCTTCTGGAGTGAGATGGAATCTTAAATGTTTTAATTTGCATTTCTTACATGGCCAGCAATGTTGAACATATTTTCATATATTTATGGGACAGTTGTACTTCTTCATCTGAGCAGTGTCTGTTCATTTCAGATGCCCGTGTTTTGATTGGGTATTTAAATTTGGGGGAATCTAATTTATTGAGTTCTTTATATATTCTAGATGTTAGTCCTTTGAGGAGCATCTGGCAAAAATATTTTTACCAGTCAGTACTTCATCTCTTCACTTTGTTCTTTTCATATGCAAAAGTTTTTTAACTGATCCTATTTGATGATTGTCATTATCTCCCCGCCACCTTTCTTTTTTGAGTAAGGGTCTCATTATGTAGTTTAGACTCTTAACTCACTGTGTAGTCCAGGCTGGCCTCAAACTCATATAGATCCTCCTGCCTTGGCCTCTAGAATGCTGGGATTACAAATGTGTGCCGCCATGCCCACTTGGTATTATTTCTTGTGCAACCAGGATTTGCTTACACCTGTATCTGTAAGAGTTTTGCCTATTTTATCTTCTAACACATTGTTTCTGCTGTGA